GAAAACACTTCTACAAACGATGGAGATAATCATAATTGACTAGATTTATTTAAATTAATTAAATTTTATTTTTAATGCTATTATTAAAAATTAATATATATATATATAAATTATAATTTTAATATTTTTAATTTATTATAAATATTAAATATATTTATAATAAATATATTAGATTATTTTTTATTTGATATTTAATATAAATTTAAGCAATATGAAAATTTTATTTTTAAATTTAAATAAAATTTATTTTATCTATTTTTATTTACAATTAATATATATAATTTTCTTTAAAAAAGATTACTTATAATTTTTATTTTATTTATAAAAAATTTATTATTAATTAATTTTTTCTTTATATATATTTTAAATAAATCTCATAATTTAAAAATATATATAATTTTTTTTATTTATTATTTAAAAATAAAAATTTTATTTAATTGAATTTTTTTTCTATATATTTTTAAAATATAAATTTTATGTCTTATTTATAAAATGAAAATAAATTAAAAATATATTCTTATTACTTATTAATTAAATAAAATAAATAATGATTTAAATTAATTATTTTAATACATTTTAAATTTATTTAAATATATTTGATATTTTTAAATAAAATACACTATTAAAAATATTTTTCTATTAATTTAAATAATATATTTAATGAATATTTATTATTTTGTTATTAAATTTTTATATTTAATATTTATTAAGTATTTTATTCTTATTTTTTAATATATTTTTTATATTTTATTAATTTTTTTTAATATAATAATATAGAATATTAAATTTAAACTAAAAATAAATTTAAATATTATTTTATATTATAATTATTAGTAATTTTTTAATAGATAATAATCATTCATTTTTAAATAAAATATATAAACATTAATATATTTGCATATTCTATAAATATAAAATAAATAATATAATAAAATTATTATATAATATATATTGAACTATAAATTTAATTATTTATATATTTTTAAACATTATTATTTAATTTTACTATATTTGTAATGAATAAAAGTTTTTATTATTTCTTTATTTATTTAATTAATTTGTAATAAATAATTTAATTTACATATATAAAAAAAAAAAATTTAATAAACATAAAATATTAATCTTTAAAAAATAATAAAATTAAATATTTATTTACTATTATTAATTATTTAATTTACTTTTAAAGAAAAGTAAAAATATAAATTAATTTTAAATATTTTTCAATTTAATAGTTTAATAATATTTTATTAATTATTTTTGATTTTAAATTTTAAACAATAATAATAAATTAATTTCTATTTTTATAATATTAAATTTAAATAAATTAAATTTAATTAAAATAATTTTAAAATTTAAATTCATTTAAAAATACTATTTTTTTAATTAATTTTATAACAATTATTTAAGTTTTTAAAAATTTTAACTATAATTTTATAATAGTTAAAATATACTATTGCATCAGTCATTAATACAATAAAAATAATTATTTTTTTTTCCATGAGAATAAAATAGTAATTATTTTTATCTTTTTTCTGATTACATTATTTTTAAAATCTTACTTTTCTTAATATTTTTTGAAAGTAGCAAGTAAATGTAGATATGATAAAATTATCCCTTCCATTATATAAATTTTCTTACATAATTAAATATTTTATCACTTCAATATTTTCAAGTTTAAGGATATATCCAATATATTTCATATAACTATTTAAAAATAGGAAATATTATAATCTCTTTATAAATCATGAATTATTTTTTAATTTTAATAATTTTTCATATTTATTTTAATTATTTTAAATTAATTTTTTTTCTTAAAATCTAGTTAACAATTAAATTATCAAATCAAGTATCTACATATACTTAGAATACTAAAAAATGTATTATAAATTTTTTCTAATTATATTTACTGTATTTTTCAGGAAAAACTATATAATCTCATTTTTCAATAAAAAATATATTAGTTGACATTTAAGAAGAAATTAATAATAATAATTTTTAAGAATATTAATAAAATAAATAGATAAAAATGTTATATATAATATCTTTAAAAATTTATTTTTAATATAATTTTATAAAGATTTAAAATACATAATATTAATTTAAGGCTTTAACTATAATTATTAGATATAATGATTATTTTTAATTGAATTTTTAGATTTAATATATAATAATATTAAAAGTGCTTATTCTATTAAATAAATATATTAACGATTTAATATAAAAATAAAATAATATATAAATAAATAATAATAATATTTATTATAAAGTAAAACTATAAAAAAATTAAGCTTTTTAAATATAATTAATTAAATTTATAATATTTCATTGAATATTAATAAGTCAAAATATTTAATAAATATAAAATTATAAAATAAATTAATAAAAAAAAAATTAAATAATGTATATGAATATATTGCATTAATTAAAAAAAAAATTTAATTAATATATTTATTAATATAAATTATTTAATTTAAAAGATATTAAAAATTACTATGATTCTGAAGCCAAAGATGAATGTACTTTATGTAAAAACTAGTACTTCCTTAACTTAGTCAATGGTAAATGTGTCGTTGCTAAAGATTCTCCTTAAGGTACATTCCCCCATAATGAAAATAATACATGTGAAATATGTAAACTTACAGGATGTATAAAATGTTAATCTTAAACTGTATGTGAAGTGTGTAATGAATAATTAGGATTTATTAAAAAAGGCGATTAATGTTCTAAATGTCATATAGGATGTTTAAAATGCTCAAGTGATTTAAATACTTGTATTTCTTGCGAATAAGATTTATTTTTAGAAGAAGGAGGTTGTGTTTAGGATTGTAATCATAATTTTTATAAAAATGAAGAAACTAAAGAATGTGAAACTATTATTAAATGTGATGATGGATTGAATTATTGGTAAAATAAATGTGTTGAAAAATGTCCTGAAGTTACTGTAGCGATAGATGGATATTGTATGTAATGTCCTTAAGGTTGCCTTGAATGTTAGAATTAATTTAAATGTTCTTTATGTGATATAAAAAAATAACTGGAATATATAAAAAGATTTTAGTTGTTCTACTAACAATGGAGAAAACACTTCTACAAACGATGGAGAAAGCACTTCTACAAATAATGGAGAAAGCACTTCGACAAACAATGGAGAAAGCACTTCTACAAATAATGGAGATAATCATAATTGACGTGAAATATTTAAATTAATTTTTTTTAATTTTATTTTTATTTTTTATTGCTATGATTAATAATTATAAATATTTATAATTATAATAATTTCAATTTAAATAAATAGTAATAAGATTGATAATAATATTAATATATTATTTTATATTAGGTATTTAATATATATTTTATCAATAAGAACATTTTATTTTATTTATCTAAATAAAAGTTATTTTATTTACAAATAAATACATATAATTTTCTTTAAAAAAAATTCTTATTATTTTTATTTTATTATTACTTTATCTTATCTATATATATTTATTATATAAATCTCATTTTTTAAAATATATATATATTTTTTTTTCATTTATTATTTTAAAAAAAATTCATTAAAATTGTAATTTTCTTTATTAATTTTTTTTTTATATATTAATAAAATATTATTTTTAAAGCTAATTTATAAAATTAAAATCGATTAATAATATATTTAAATCAATTAGATAAAATAAATAATGATTTGAATTAATTAATTTATTTTTTAATATATTATTAAACCATTTAAATATATATTTAATATTTTTTTAATAAAATACTCAATTAAAAATATTTTTTTATTAATTAAATTTATAAATTTAATGAATATTTATTATTTTTTTTTGTTAATAAAAATTAATAATTAATATTTATTAAGTAATTAATTCATAATTTTTAATATATTATTTATTTTTTATTAAATTATTTTAATATAATAATAAAGAATATTATATTTAAAACTAAAATTAATGTAAATAATATATTAGATTATAGCAATTAATAATATTTTAATAAATAATAATTAATTTTTAAAATAATAGTATAGAAATAAATATATTTGAATATTCTACAAATATAAAATAAATAATATAATAAAATTATAAAAGAATATATATTGTACTATAAATTCAATTATTTATATTATCATTAAACATTATTATTTAATTTTATTTTATTTATAATGATTAATTTTTTGTTATATTTGTTTATTTATTCAATTGATTTGTAATAAATAATTCAATTTAAATATATAAAAAAAAAAATTAATAAACATATAATATTAATCTTTTAAAAATAAGAAAATTAAAAATTTATTTATCATTATTAATTATTTCATTTAATTTTAAATAAAAATAAATAAATATAAGCTAATTTTAAATATTTTTTTATTTAATAGATTAATAATATTTTATTAATAATTTTTGATTTTAAATTTTAAACAATAATAATAATATAATTTCTATTTTTTTTTAATTTAAAATTAGTCTAATTTTTTAGATTTCATATAATTTAATATTTAAAATGTTTATATTATTTGATTGTTTAATATATGATTTAATCAAATAATATGAATAAAAATATGAATATAAAATAATAAAATTTATTATAAAGTAAAAATATGAATTAAGTATTTATATATAATTATATTTTAATTAATTAAATTTATAATATTTATTAAATTAAAATTAAATTATAAAATAAATAAAAAAAATATATAATTATGTATATATATTTTTTATTAATAAATAAAATATTAAATTAATTAATTAATAAATAAAAATATAAAGTAATTAATTAAATATATATTAAAAAAACTATAAAATATAAAAAATAATAATATCTTTAATAATTTTATAAAATTAAAATAATATATATTTTAATTTAAAAAATTAATAAAAATATTTTAAACAAATAAAAAATAAATAATTCAATATTTATTAAATATATAAAATAATTATAAAAAAAATATATATAAAATAATTATAATTATATATAATTATTATTTAAATATATAAATAATAATAATCATAAGTAATATTTAAATAAAATAAAATTAATATTATTATTATTATCATATTATTATAATAATTATAATTAAATTAATGAATATTAATATTTATATAAATAATTTATAAATAATTATTATTAATATTATGTTTATTATTATTATTATTATTATTATTATTATTATTATTATTTTATTTTATATTTTTTTTATCAATTTTAATTTTTATTTTTCTAAAATAAATATTTTTATTATATTTAAAAGGTATATATATAATATTTTAATAATAAAATTAGTTTAATTCTATTTATATTGGTTTTAATTTTTTAAATTGTTAAATTATTTTATAATTATTTAATTTTTGCACTTTTTATTTAAATTATATTTTTTTATTGATTAATATATATATAATTCAATCTTATATATTTTTATTTATATTTATTTAATTTTTCTTATATAAATTATTCAAAATATATTTATATAACATTATACTATTTTTCTAAAATTTTACTTATATAGCTTTAAGTTTATTGACATTTCTATATAAATTCTTTTGATTTGTATAAAGTTTTTTTTATATTTTTTAAATTCTCATAAGATATAAGAAATTTATTATATATTTATTTTCTAATTAATTTTAAAGAATAATATATTATCACCATTAAATATTTTTATACCTGTTTTATTTTATATTTTAGATTTAATTATATAATTATATGTATTTTTATTATTTAATGTTCATATTTTATATTTTATTATTTTTTATTGATAAATACATGTTTTTAAAATATTATATTTGTTATTTTTATTAAATTTTTGCTTATAATTTTAATAACTAACATTTTATTTTTTATTTCTTTGTATATTTATAAGCATTAATAATAAATGGAAAATTAAAATGTTTTTATCAATTTAAATTATAAAATAATATAAAATATTATCAATTAAAATAATTTAAAAATATATGAAGAGACAAAATAATAATATTTATAATTTATTTTTAAGAAATATATTTGTAAAACCACTAAAATACTTTTTTTTATTTATTTTTAAATATAAATATTTATTTTTTTACACGTATTACAATTAAATTAATATAATAAATAGTTTCTATATTATTATTTAAATTTGTATTTTCATAAAATAGATATATATAATTTAATTTTTTATTTTTTATATAAATATTTTACTATTATTTAAATAACTATGAAATCAAATAAAAAAAAGAAGTAAATTTAAAATTTATATGGTAATTTGATTAATTATACAAAATTAATTATGTTTTACAAATATAAATGTATTTATTTAATATTTTTTGTGATAAAGTGATAAATTATATATTATAAAAATAGAAAAAATAGAAAAATATAAAATATATTTTGTAAAAATAAATACTCAAATAAAGCATATTCATATATTATTTATTTATTTGTGATAAATTAAATATTAATAAATAAACAAATACTTATTAAAATTAACTTTCTAATAAATAATATATACAAACAATATAATAATTTATTTATTTATTAATGAAATAAATTAAAATTATTAAAAGCATAAAAAACTCAATTTTTCTAATATTATTGCTTTCCTAATCAATATTAGGAGTTTACAATCATACATGTAATCATGATTCCGAATTTGATTTCTCATAAATAAATGACCAAATAGAATAAACACGAAGAATACTTAAAGAATAAAATTTTTTAAACACATAAAATAGAAATTTATAGAACAACTTTCCTTAATAAGCATAACCTATAAGAGTAACTATGGATTTTTCTTTAAGTAAGATAACTTAAGATACTGAATACTTAAAAAATCTAATGTAACATATTTAGGTATATTTGTAATAACTATTAAAAGTTATTCCTGCTTAAGGACCTAATAAATTTCATAGTCAAAAATGTGATGATATAGTTGTTCCTATAAAATATAGAACAGATGGTGAGAGAAATTCTGATGTACATATTTGGGTAGTTGAAAGTCATGATACAAAAAATTTTTTAGCTAGTGCTGTTTATTGCTAATTGGATAATACTTTGAAAAGAGTTAATTATGGCATAATTAAAGTAAATATGAATAGAGCAGATTAAAATTAACATAATTCTGGATTTAAAAAAGATTTAAATAATCTTTTACATGAATGTTTTCATATTTTAGGATTTTCAAGTGGGTTATATGAATATTGGGTAAATCCTTTAACTGGAGACTATTATGGCGAAGATATAAAAAAATATTTAAAAACAGTTACTATAAGGGAAAAAGAAATTTAAGCCTTGTCTACACCTAATGTTCTTGCCACTGCTTAAAAATACTATAGTTGTCCTACTTTAGAAGGAATGTTATTAGAGAATATTGGTCCCAATTATTATATAGGTTCTCATTGGAAAAAAACCATAATGCTTAATGAATTAATGTCTTCCGGTTAATCTCAATTAGATAGTTAAGTTTCTGTTTTTACTATTGCTTTATTGAGAGATAGTGGCTTTTATGCTGAAGTAAATGAAAGTATGGCCGAAGATATATAATGGGGAAGAAATAGAGGATGTGAGTTTGTTCTTTAATTTTGTTATTCTGAGACTTAATATCCTGAATATTAATATAAATAATATTAAGTGTAACAATGCTCTTTTAAGAATAATGGTTATGGATTAACTACTTCATCAGCTTATGTTGATAAATGTAAATATATTAAAAATTAAATTTATTGTGAAGATTAAGATTATGCTGGTCCTCTTAATAAATTAACTTTTTAATATTTTGGTGTTTAATCGAAATGCTTATAATCAACTGCTAATGATGGAAATTATTTTAATATAAAAAGTGATTCTCGTCGTTGTCATTATGTTTAATGTTCTCCTGATTCTACTTAAATTTTAATAATTATTACTTAATTGAATTATAAAAGATTATTCTGTAATAAATAAGATGAAGGTAAAGAAATTGAAATTGTTCAAGGAGAACCATAATTTGGTCATATTTCTTGTCCTGATAATTATAGAGAGTTTTGTGGTTATACACCTGAATGTCCTAAGTATTGTTCTCGAAAGGGTATTTGCATATCTGGATAATGCAAATGTTAATCAGGATGGACAGGATTTGATTGTAATGTTGAGTAAAAAATCTGTCCTTATTTTATTTTAGGATATAATCCTTCATAATGTGTTAAAACATGTCCCACTGGTTTTTTTGCAAATCCTGACAGAGTATGTAGAGATGACTGTCCTAAAGGTTTTTACAAAAATAATGAAAATTAAGCATGTGCTAATTGTGATATTTCATGTATAAGATGTACTGGTCCTACAATGAATGATTGTATAGAGTGTGGTTTTTTGGCATTTTTAGAAGAAGGAAATTGTGTATAATAATGTAGAAATGATGAATTCTAACTAGTAGATTAAAGAACATGTATAAAATCAGTAAATTAAGGATGTGATTAATTTTGTGAGAGATGTAATTTTACAACTCATAGCCAATGTACTTTATGTTAAGAATAGTATTTTCTTAATTTAATTACTAGAAAATGTGTCCCTGCTTATGATTGTCCTAAGGGAACATTCGCCAATGATACAACTAATACATGTGAAATATGTGAACTTACAGGATGTATAAAATGTTAATCTTAAACAGTATGTGAAGTATGTAATGAAAAATTATAATTTTTTAAAAAAGGCGATTAATGTGCTAAATGTCCTAAAGGATGTTTGAAATGCTCAAGTGATTTAAATACTTGTATTTCTTGTGAAACAAATTTTTTTTTTTAGAAGGATAATGTGTATCCTTTTGTCCTGAAAATTAATTTGCGGATATAGAATAAAGAAAATGTGTATCTATTATTACATGTGAATAGGGTTCTTATTATTGGTAAAATAAATGTTATGATAAATGTCCTAGAGGAACATTAACTGAAAATAATCAATGTCTATTATGTCCTTAAGGTTGTCTTGAATGTCCGAGTCAATAAATATGCTCTTAATGCGATAATAAAAATGGTTGGATACTTTAAAATAATGAAAGTTGTACTATAAATAATTGAGATATTACTATGATAAATGGAGTTAGTAATACAAATAATTGAGATATTAATATTATAAATGGAGTTAGTATGAAAAATTATGGAAGTATTACTTGAAATAATGGAGACAGTACTACAAATAACATAGGTATTAGTGCAAATAATGAAGATAGTACTACAAATAATGAGAATTTAATTCAAATAATGGAGAAAGTACTATAAAGAATTAAGATATTTGTACTTTTTGTAATAAAAATTTATTTTTAAAAATCATTGAATCGATTAATATGTTATATAAATATTTTATTTTATTTATTTGTTTTTTTAAAATGAAGAAGAAGCAATTAAAATAATATTTTAGTTATTTATTTAATAGATAAAATATACATTTATATAAATACAAATAGAAACATTTTTTTTTTTTTCTTTTATATATATATATTTTATTTTTATAATTAAATCTAATAGTATAAAATCTTATCAACTATAAATATTTTATTATATTCTCACTTTGTTATAAATATATTTAAAAGATTGCCTTTGTTTAAAAAATTATTTATAATAAGAGAATAGTAATCACAAAATATGATTATATTCTTTTTTTATATAAAAGAAAAAATGCTTTAAGTGTTAAGTATAAAAGGAAAGCAAGTTTAAAAAAGATATTAAATATTTTTCGAATAATAAATTATTATTAAAGGGATAAATATATAAAATTTATAAAACACAAATATTTTAAATAAAATATAAAATAATTTTATAATATATATAAATTATTAAAAGATAAAAAATATATATATATATATATATATATACTATTGATTTTTTTATAAATTTGTTTGTATATAAAAAAAAATTAAAATATAAAAAATAATATATATAATTGATTTTATAATAAATTTAGTTTATATAAAAAAATAAATTTAAAAGATAAAAAAAAAAGATATAATTGATTTTATAATATATTTAGTTTGTATAAGAAAATATAATTCTTAAAATAAAAAATTAAATATAAAGAGTCTATATAATTTTTTGGAACAATTTCAATTTTGTCTTATTTTAAATTAAAATTATTTTAATATTTACTTGAAATTTAGCATATATAACCTTTTATTTTATTAAATTAAAATTTCGATGTAATCCTTATGCTTATAATTAAAACAAAATTCAATATAAAGTATATATTAGCCTAGCTTTATTTATATATATGATGGTATTTTATGATTCAATAATAGATTTATAAAGGATGTTATAAAAATTTTGACCATATAAAATAAAAAGAATTTTAAATAATAGAGTTTTAAGTATAAAAAAATAAAAAAATTATTATCAAAAAATAAAATAAAATATTTATAAGAAAAAAAAGTTAATATTTATGAATACTTGTATATATAAACGGAAAAAATAATAATAAAGTAATTTAAATAGATTAAATAAGTATTTTTATTATAATTAATATAATTTTTCTTGAGATAAATTAATAAAAAGAGGTTACATTTGTATTATACATTATATATAAAAATATTTATTAATAAATTTTAATTAGTATTAATATTAAAATCATATATATTCTCAAAAATATCATTTTTTTTATATAATAATGTTTTTTATTTTATATATATATATATATATAATTAAATTAATTAATAAATAAAATCTTATTTATTTTATATATAAATATATAATGATATTTTATTCAGATATATATCACTTTTTTTAATATTATTAATATATTTATATAATTAATTTTACATTAAGAAATTTATATATTAACAATTTAATCAAAAATTAATAAAAATCTATTTATAATAAATAAAAAAGTATAAAAAAATATGGCATTTATTTAAATTGTTTATTTTATTAAATATTCAATTAGATTATTTTTTTTTTTAAAAAAATTTCTTTTATATAAATATTAATTATATATTGGTTTTAAATATTCTTTTATTAATCTTTTATTAATAAATATAATTAATAGAAAGAGAAATTAAAAAATAAATAAATATATTATATATAGTTGTAAATATTCAATTAATTATAATATATATAAAAATATATAAAATTAAATATATTTTATTTTTATTTTAAATTAATTTTTTAATTTATTTATATATTTTTTTATAAAAAAAATTAAAATAAATTAAAAAAATTAATTATTTTAAGACAAAAATGATTATAATTAGATATTTATTATATTTAAAAAAAAAAAAAAAATAATATTAATTTTATATATATAAATTAAACTGCCTTCTTATTTTAATTTAATATGGTTTAAAAAAATACATTTTTAAAATACCATATTTTTTAAAATATAATAAATAAGCATGAATTTTTTTTTTAACATTTAATTTTAAAAAAAATTAAAAAAAAAATTAAACTTAAATTTTTTATTTTTAGATTTAAAGAATTTAATATTTATATAATAATTATTAACATACATAATATAATTAAAATAAGTTTAAAAATATTTAACGTTTAAATAAATAAAATTAATAAGACACATAAATACATATTATTTAGAAATAATTATAAATATAAATAAATATAAATATACATATACATATACATATACATATATATATATATATATATATATATATATATATATATATATATATATTTTATTTTTATATATATATATTTATTTAAATATATTCATATTTCAAATATATTTTTTAATATATATATATAAATATATTTCATCCTATTCTATTATTTTTTAATAAATAAATTATTAATTTAATAAAAGAAATATATAAATTTTACATAAATTAAAAAATAATTATTAAATTTTTAATATGAATTATTTTATCTTTACAATATTTTAAATTTTTGCTTTAATTACATATATATATTCAATTGAAAATCCAATTTCTATAAATATCAAAAGTGATTTGCGATTAACTCCTACTGAATTATTAATATGTAAAGCCAAATAGTATGCCCAAAATGACGAAATATGTAACAATACGCCATCTTGTTAAGCAAATTTACAACAATTCAATTAATAAATAAAAGGACAGGAGACTAATTTTACTTAAATTTATTAGCAACAAAATGACGAAGTAAAAAATGTAGTTAATTTATGGGATAAATCATGTAATATATTTGACCATTATACCCGGTGTGGATAAGCAGAGGAGATGCTTTCCAAGTGTTGGCTTAAATTAGATAAATAATGTTATGATGAAAATACTGAAATATTCAATTAAATGGATTAATGCCTTAAATAATTTTCTACTGTTACTCCTGCTTAAAAATAATAAATTGCCATTGCAGAATGTATAAATGATGCTGTTTAAAAATCAAAAGAAAAATTAAAAGTTGCAATTTAATGTAATTGAAGTAGTTAACTATATTTATAAAAAATATGAAAAGTATAAATAATAATGTTTTATTTTTTACTTTTTCATATATTTTTCATTTTGTTTTTATGTTTATTAAAATAGAAAAAAAAAAGAAAAAAAAAAAAAAAAAAAAAGAAAGAAGTATTTAATAAAAGGATATTTTTTACTTTTTTTATTAAAAAAAAAAAAAACTAAGCTTTATATATATATATATTATAAAAAAATGGGGTTTTAATGAAATAAAATTTTATAATTATTTAAATTCTAAAAAAAAAAAAACAAAAAATATAACATTTATATATAGATAAAAAAAATAATACATATATACAAATACATATATATATTTTAAATATATGTAATTAGTTTTTATTTTATTTTTATAAAAAAATTAATAATAATAATTTAAATTTTTTATTTTATTCAATAAAAATAAATAAAAATTAATTAAAAAAAAATAATAAAAAAAAAATGCATAAATAATATTTAAATGAATCTATATAGTAACATAATCCAAATAGACTATCTAGAATAACTTTAAGCAATTAATCCCCTAAAATCAAATGTTCTAGTCGATAGAAATTTTATTCATTAGATTAGTAATCTAAATCAAATCCATGTTTAAGAAATAGTTCAAAAAGACGTTATAAATTGGGAATATTAGAATTTAATTTATTTAATTAATAATCTAAATATGAACATTAAGAAAATAAAAATTATTTAAAATAAAAACAGGAATTAAACGAATAAGAAATGAAACTGGAAAAATTAAAAAGGGAAGTTGAAATTATAATGAATAGAAAAATAATAAAATAAATAGAAAATAGTATTTAGATTTAAGAATATTAAAAAATCAAAGAAAGTAATCGAATAATTAAAAAATAGGAATTTTAGTAAAGTTAGGAGTATTAATAGGAAGTAATATTTGGTTTAATTTAAAAAGAAAAACTCAAAAAATTAAAATACTAATAAGAACTTTTATAGTTAAATATGATGTAAAAAAAATAGTTTTTATAATAAAACTCGGTTTATAATTAAAAGTGTGAATAAAATAATTCATCTTCTTCATTTTTTTCTACTAATAATCCTTTAGATTAATTAAATACTCCTAAAAAAAATAAAATTTTTTAAAATAAAATTAAAAAACAGAAGGAAGTAAAGAAGATTAAACATTTCTTTCAAATTTAGTTTAAAATTAAATGAAATGTGATAAAAATACAGTCTAAAAGCATTAAATATAAATGAAATAAGAAGGAGAAAATTTAAAAACTAAGTATTATTTCTAAAAAAATAGAAAGTAGGAAAAAAATTAAACCAAAAATGATCAATAAAATCAATAATAGGAAAATAAGGAAGATAATTTTTATATAAATAAAAATAAACAAAACAATATAGAAACCAACAATAATAAATAGGAATATAATAATGATATAATCAATAATAAAAGGGTATATAGTGATAATAATAAATAAGAACTTAATATAATAAATTATAATAAATAGGAGAATATTAATTAATATATTAATAATAAATAAGTATATAATAATAATTAATAAGCAATAAATAGTAATCTAGTATATAATAATAGTAATATAGTAAATTAGCAATAATATTATAATAATAATAACTGTATATATAATAATATTAATCATAAGTAAGAAAACCATATTAGCAATA